GGATACGCCGTGCACGCGCCTGCGGCTGGCAAGCCTCGGAATTGCTACCCCAGTCCGACCAAATGCGACCCCTTTGTTCGAACAGTTCGAACAGACGGTTGACCCTGATCTGCCTTCACTAGCGCGTTCATGCTGACGACGTTGACGAGGAATTTCGGTTGACACAGCGGGCGCACGTGTTCCAATAACTGTAGTGTCATTGTGAAACACTCAGGCAACGCAAACAAATAACCTAGCCCCCCCTACCTTTGAGAAAAACTGTTTCCTAGATTTTAGGTCGAACTTAACCCATTGAACCACAACTTCAAAAATCTGGAATGAAATCTTTTAGGTATTCATGCCTAGAAGCATCTCGAAAATGCACAATACTGAAGAAGCATAGCGTTATTTGTAGATTCAATTCAAATACCTGCTCCTCTGATGACACGCAGAGCGCTTCACTCGAAATAATCTCGACTAACTGATCAAAGGTGAGCCGATAAAATTCCTCAGTCCCAACAATCTTCTGAAATCGAATGGAACTGCACGAGATCACTTATTAGATAACCTTGAAGGCATCGCGCGCAGAAACGGCGTAATTCTACCTCTAACATGAATCGCTGACTTTTGATCTATCGTCTAATATGAGCATGAAAAGAACGAGAGTTCAATGATGGCAAAGAATCTAGAAAATTGGTAAAACTATGATTCATTCAAATTCTCGCCGTAGAACAACCACGATTTTGACGCGATCAAGAAGTTTTGCAGGCGTCTTAGTCATAGCAATATCCCACCCCTCTGCTGCACTCTGGAATACCGTCCAGAAATTCCTATCTACTCCTCAAAATGTCCAGGCAGAATTAAATATCTTCCAACGACACGTCTCAGTATATGTGGCCAAAGCTCTTGTACTCCTTCCTGTTGAACCTCTTTGGCTCTACCATATCACAGAAGTGTCACGGCGTGGTTTTCGGAAGTTTGTTCCCTTCCTAGGTCGGAATTACCATGCGCTAACTTTGTACGCTGTAACTAGTTATCTCACAACACACATAATGCAAGGAACGAATAACCTAGGTAGTCATTCACGTTGAAATTGATCTTCGAGCAACAAAAAAAGAACCTGGAAATTCTGCAAGATACACTTGTCAGCGCAACGGAGTAGCTCCTGATAGGCATACGTATCGGCAAACTCTCGAATTCTCCAACAGTTTGATATAATCCATTCTCTTTTTCAGGAATTCACAACACGGCTTCTATAATTGATGGATTAGATTAGAGTTGTCATGACTTTTCAGTCATGATATGGATTGGACCCCCAAATCCCCTGATTCTAAGCCCCTTCAAATTTACAACAAACAAGTGACGATCTGCGGCATATTATATTTTAAATTTACCGCGTACAAACTACAATCCAATTCCAACATTGCCATGCCCACCGGACCGCCTACTAGCACAGGTATATATACCGCCCTCTCTGGGGGGTATAAAGAGCGCGCTCCGGGCGGCAGCGGCATTCCGCTCCGGTGTCACCTTCAGTTTAGTTTCATTCAACTCCTCCCTCTCTCTTCCGGAGCCCCGCCCCTCTCATCAAGCGACTACGGTCGCGCACCAATCACCGTAATTCAATCCTACTCCTACAACAACGCCACGGCAAACTTATGCCGGTCGGCTCGCCACCAGGGTCAACCCTGCGTTGCGCAAATTCCCAAATTTTTACGACCCCCTTCCTTTTCGGGGGTATCGGTACGACCCCCCATATTAACTATCATGTCTTTCACATAATTTAATGCTCATCAATGCTCATCAATGATGGCAGTCACCAACATGGAGAAGTGGTGGACCGTGGTCAATCCGCGCGCTCTGTCTCGCTCAGAGGAGGAAATCGAGGCAAATGAAGTTTTATTCATTAAATAGAAGGAATTTTCAAATTTTTGCGTAAACCAATACATCATTTTAATCGTGAAGATTTCTACTTTCAGAAACCCACCAGGATTTTTTCGATCTCTCAACTTTCCTTACCTTATAATCTGAAAAACTAAACCTTGTAGCAATTACATTGCAATCCAAACCCCTTCCATTCAGAAGGTTATATTTTCTTTCAGAAGCTGTTTCATGAAATCGGACACCAAAATTTTGAAAATATAAATAGTTTTCTTCCTGAGGAGTATTTGAAATGTTGTGGATGTTCAGTATTTCAAAAAATCGTCCCGTTGTTCCGTTTTCTGTGCACACGCGAGTTTTTGACATTCAAACATTCATAACTTTCTTCATAATCAACTTTTTGCAAATGTCTAAGGCTAATTAGAAACTAGAAGATTAGAGCTTTCGAACAAGCACCTGAAAATTTTCCAGCGATCATTTTTTCAAAAAATAGTCCCGTTGTTCCGTTCTTGGGTGGTTTGGGGTCCGATTTTTGAGAAGGCGCGAGTTTTCGACATTCAAACGTTAATAACTTTCTTCATACTCAACATTTTGCAGATGTCTAAGGCTAATTAGAAACTAGAGGATTAGAGCTTTCGAATAAGTGCTAAAACTTCTTGAAATAATCACTCGCTCAAAAATAGTCCCGTTGTTCCGTCAATTCCACCTTGATTTTTTTCAAGCCTTTTTCCTGGACCGCGACTATGCAGTCTTTAAAGGCCCATAACTTCCTTTGAAATTAATGTGATGAGAAGCGGTAAAGATTGTTGGAATCTACTCACTCGAAGACAGTACAGCTCTCAGTAAACAACTGGAAATTCCTAAGAAACTTCTTCCTCTCCTGCCTCGATTTTCCTACGGCGTCTCCAGAACTCAATTCAGCAAATTCGCTACACTTTGTTTCGCTTAGATTTTATTTGAAAGCATCAAAACTCTCTTCAGAAAGTTTGTCTGCTTACGGCCGCTGACAGAGGAGGCGTTTTT